GCTGTGGGAAGGGACCATCCGCAGTCGTGTCCCACACAGCCGCCTCCTCCATGCTCTGCTAATGGACAGCTTCTGTCTGCGTTGGTCCCGCAGCTGCCAGCCTCCAGAGCTCCGTCCCTGCAGGTGTTGAAGGCCAGGTTGGATGGGGCCCTGGGCAGCCTGGGCTGCTGTGAAATGTGGAGGTTGGTGGCCCTGCATTGGTGGGGGTTGGAGCTTCGTGATCCTTGAGGTCCCTTCCAACCCAACCATTCTGTGATTCTGTTTCAGAAGCGAATAGATGAACTCCCCTATGTCAGAGCAGACTCCGACGTGTGCTGTCTCCCCCTCTTGGCCACAGAGCCTGTGGAAGAGTGAGCAAGGAGCAATCCATTTGTGGCAGCTGTTTGGAAGGCGCTGTGCATGGCTTCGTGTGCCAGCAGAGCAGTGCTGGTTGCAATCAGCCCCAGCATTCCCCCACAGCTGCTGCCCAAATAAATCCATTGCTTTAGCAGAGCATCTGCTTTTGTGTTAAATGAATCCACCGCTGAGTATTAGCAATAATTTTGCTCAACTTGAGCTGCTGCCCCATTAGAGCTTAATGAACAGATTCCTTGGGAAACCTGAGCAGTGTAATGTCAGAGCACTGCGAAGAGCCAAGCGACTTAAAATCAAAGTGCTGTGTCAGCAAATGGAGGCAGGTTTGGAGTGCTGCAGGAAGACACAGCTCCCTGGTCGAGAAGATGAGCCACGGTCGTAATGAATATTTTGCCCAGCCTGTATCTGGTTTCAAAATCTTCCCACAGTCATCCCAAATAAGCACTGGTGAGAATGTGATGTTATTAGAAAGGGGATGGAGTCAGAGCAGCCGGAGAATGAATGAATGAATGAATGAATGAATGAATGAATGAATGAATGAATGAATGTTGGTCATGGGGGGGTCATTAAACAGGGGCACTCAGAGTTGCAAAGGGAGCTGAGTGCCTTCTGAGTTCTGGGGGGGGGGGGCTGTGTGCTGAGCTCTGTGGTGATGCTGCCATGCCCAGGTCCACGCGGAGCCCTCCTGGTCGGCCTTGGAGGAAGGGCTGGATCCAACAGCTGCAACCCCCCGCGCTCCCATCGCTGCCGTTCCAGGAGGAAACTTGGAAGCAGAGTATGTAGTTGCTCCCATACTGATGGCTCTGCTGACAAAGTTGCGTACTGAATTCCCTGTGTGCTGCCACAGAGCATCAGGATTCAGCCTGGGAGAGGAAAGCCAGCGACTGTTTGGCAGCGCGATGAAAGGACGGCGATGCGAGTGTTGTTTGTAAGGCTCCTTGTGGGGTTAGATTAAATGATAGGCTGGAACGGAGCTCGGAGAGATTGTGATGAAAGAGAAGTTTCGTGTTTGTCGGGTAAACATGCCCAGTTATTAAAGAGCATTAGGATGCGATTTGTAACCCAATATTACAAACGCGGCGATTATTGTCGTGGTTTCCCAGCAGAGCGTCGGCCAAAGGAAGGAGGGATCCTCTGTGCTCCAGCAGGCACCTACAGACGGCCCCTTGTCTGGGGAGCAGAGCTGGGCCAGTGCTGGAGGAGCCACTCGAGAGAAGGCAGGCTGTTGTTGGGGAGCAGCCTGCTGCAATCTATTGATGGCTGAAACACATTTTGCTGAGCACAATCCGTGTTTTTAAACACTGACGTTTGTTTGACAGTTTCTGCTTTTCTGCCAGGACAGCTGAGGGGAGCTCAGTGGAACAGCAGAAATTGCAGCCTGATGCAGTGTAGAACAGGTTGCCCACTGAGGTTGTGGATGCAGGCATTCAGGGCCAGGCTGCATGTGGCTCTGGGCAGCCTGGGCTGCTGTTGGTGACCCTGCACACAGCAGGGGGTTGGAACAGGATGAGCATTGTGGGCCTTTGCAACCCAGGCCATTCTAGGATTCTATGATTCTAATAGTTACAGACCATTAGTTGTCGAGCATTTCCAGTTGCTCAACAAAGAGATGGTGTAAAATTACTGTTTTATTCATATGTGTAACAATGCTTCTGACTGCTGTCCGTCCAACGGCTGCTGTTGTGCACAGTGAGGGATGGACTTCTTCATGCCGGCACCTCCTGACCCAGCAGGAGCACACTGTGCTACAGGTGCACAGCTCAGGCACTGGGACACATCTGGGGAATGTGCAGGACCACGGGCACCACTGTTTGTACAAATCCCAGCTGCGTTACCTGGGTGTTGGAATGTGATATAAGAGGAAAGCACTCCGGGGCATCAGTAGTGCTCAGCGAGGAAATGGCACTTCTGTCTTTCCTGGCTCCCAGCAGCACTGCATGCTGAAAGCCCTCATCGCAGCTGAGCCACAGAGAGCTGAAGTGTTTTGTGCCTATGCACCTTTATCAATAGCAACAGCAATTTCAGCCGTCCCAGGGTGAGGAGGAGCCGCCGCCGTGCTGACCGTGCAGGGATCTCCTCATCCCTCCCAGAAGGAAAAGCTGCATCTGAACCCCGACGGTGCCACGTGAGTCACTCAGCACAAAGGCTGCTGTCAGCTTCAGCCAAAAGCAGAGCGCGAGCACAAAGAGAGGAGGATTCAGTAACGCCTGTTTTAACCTCATGCTTTTTCACAGGCTTTCTTCTCACCACCCCAGCAGCACACGACACAGAGCAGCCCAGGTTGCTGCTGTGGGCCCCATGCAAACACTTCAGAGGGCTCTCATGATTCCTTCTGGGATGAAGCGCACAAGGACGGCAGCAGAAGGCCCGGCTCTGCATCCAGCACCTGCTCTGGAATGATGTGACAGCCCTCCTTCACGTGGCTGTGCTCAGCGCAGCGCTGGGTCGTTTGGAGAAGATCTCCGAGATCCCCAGGCCCACCTCCAACCCACCCCCCCATGCTCACAGCTCTGAACACCCCCAGGACGGTGACTCCCAGCCCGTACAGCTGTGCCAGCACTGACCGCTCTTTGGAGAAGCTGCTCCTGTCATCCAACCTGACCCTCCCTGGCAAACCCGAGGCCGTTCCCCATGGATGAGGCGCCGGGATGCCCCATGGCGGTGGGGCTGAGTTCCAGGAGCTGCAGCCCCCCCACAGCAGCACACAGCCCCAAAGGACACGTCGGCCTCACAGCAGCGCCGACACGCGCCAGCCGCTCACTGTTTGAAGCAGGAGCAACAATGGTGCCTTTGTGTGCTGCTGGGGATGCCTTTCTCCCCACGGCTGTTGGTGTGGGCAGCGGCGGTCTCCAAGGCCACAGCCACGTTTGCTTTGTGAGCAGCTGCCACACTGAGGATAAAGCCCCACACGGGCCGTCCCCATCCCACGCTGCTGTTGGATCAGGGCTGCTGGCGCTGCAGCTGGGGCTGGCAGGTGAGCAGCCCCACAGCCATCTGCATGGCCTCTGTCCTGCTGGTTCCCAATAGGAGAAGAAGGAAGGGCTGCAGCATCCCTTCCTGCTGCTCTCCCCATGGGCTGGAGGTGAGCTGGGCATGTTGCTGTGCCCCCAGAGCTTCACACAAACCTTTCCTGTGCTCACCCCGGGCGATGCCGGCTCGATGCCAGCCCTGCTCACCCATTTCCCAAAATAATGCCACAGCATGGGACAAGTTCTCCATGGGCCGAGGATGGTTGTGGAAGCAAAGCCACAAGGAATGAGGACACAGGGCCAGCAGAGAGGGACAGCCACCACAACCCGCAGCTGAGCCTGCTGTGCTGCTTCCCATGAAGCCATCATTGCTTAGGAAGGGGGAACTCAGGGCTGTGGGACAGCGTGAATCTCCAAGCACGGTTTCTTTCTTCATGAGGAACTGGATCTCATGGCACGATGTTTCCATGCTGCCAGGACTGATGGCTCTGGGCTGGGGCAGAAGCTCATTAGAGAGAGCCATGTTGGAGATGGGCAGCAGCATGTGATGCCACAGGGCTGTGGCACAGCTCCCACTCAGCCCAGGTTAATGCCGGTGCTGCCCTCCAAGCCCTGCCTCGGTTCTTGGCCACACTTCCCAGCTGAGCGCTGCTAATAGGGACGAGTCAGGCTGGCACCGTTCCCTGCCCCACAGCGGCCGGGTTGTGTGGGTCAAGGTTGGGGTCAGGCTGTCTCCCGATGTGACAAAGCCCGAAGTTTTGGGGATTTCCTGCACCGATGGAAAGAGAAAGAAGAACTTGGCAGCGTTCCTCCTGGCTTCCTTCCACTTTCCTCTTTTGAAGCGAGTCTCCTTTTTATGGCTCCTTGCTTAAGCCTTAAGCCCGAGCAAACATCGCCAGAGAGTTCATCCAACAGAAACAAACGGGGACGTCTTCTTGTGGCTGCAAAGCTGCAAACCTGCCCGCAGGCAGCACGCCCCGTCTGCGGCCGCAAACAACGCCGTCCCAAAAGCAGAACATGGGACCAGGAGCCAACGGACCCACAGCAGTGCTGCATCACAGCACGGAGGGGAGGTGAGCCAGGGTGCCTGCAGCTGCTGCCCCTTTGCAGCTCCCACTTCCCCGAGCCGCAGACACTGCAAAATGCAGGAGTGAGAGCTTCACGTGGGCCACAAAGGCAAAGCAACGGGAAAGCGAGTGCTGAGCTTTGTGGCCAAAGCTACCGAAGTCGTAAGCTGCTTTCAGCATCAGTTTTAAGGATAACAGATGGAGGCAAGAAGGAAAAAAAAAAAACAAAGCAAGCGAACCCATCCCGCTCTCTGCTTCAGCCTCCAGAGGATTGGAAGTCACTGCTGCATTTCAAGCAGTTTTCACAGCCCCACTGTGGGCCACCTGCTCTGCACCTCACCAAAACAATCAAAGCGTGCTCTGCGTTAACTCAGCCCCTCATAACAGCCCTCGCAGGACTCCCTGGGGACAGGGTGCAGCACAGAGCAGGTCTGCGTCCAGCAGGGAGCTCCAACCCCACTGCAATGGGAGCACAGCTCCGAGAGGGCCCTGCTCCTCCTGCCTGCAGAGCTGCAGCTCTGGGACGGCCCAGGAGCAGAGAAGCAGAGGAAGAAGGCGATGGCAGCACAGCAGCTGCAGCCCTTCTGCCACGGAAGGAGTCGGACAGAGGTCAGAGTTTAAGGACTTTATTCCCTGCACCGGCAGATGTCTGTTACAGCTGCAGGCTGACGTAGCACAGAGCCCATCCGGACACACAGCTTTCTCCTCCACAGCCCCAGGACTCCCAGTACACACAACACAGCGGGGACAAAGGCAGGACCACACTTCTATCTGGGCAGGAGGATGGGAGGAGCAACACCGCCCCACAGTGAGCTCCTGCATGGCAGGCAGCTCGGCAGCAGCCGAGGTAGAGACATTCACACAAAGCGCGACTGCAGGCACGACAGAAGCAGAACGCTTTTAGCCCATAGAACAGCCAAGAAGTGATGGCAGAAAAGAGCATCGCCCCTCAAACACAGCTGCCAGCTGCTGCTTTTTCTTTTTGCAAAAGTTCACACAAAGGGACGATTGGGTTGCAGTGGCACTGAGACAGCAGCTATGACAGCTGTAACGTCGGACCCACGTTGCCCAGCACACAGCAATCCCACAGCACCGGCTGCTGCCATACAACCCAGCTGATGGTGCTGCCTTCTCAAAGCTGAGTTGGTGGTGTTTTTATTTTAAAATGAGAAAGTTAAGAGTTCAATCTGCCCTCTCTGTTCTCCAGGGATGAACAGCAACTTAAAAAATAGTTTTAAAAAAAAACAAACCACAAAATAAGGTCAGAATTCCACCTAAGACACCATTTCCTTTTTTTTTTTTTTTTTTTGCTGAAGGGCACAGGAAAGGGGCTCCCGCAGAGCAGGCTGAGCTGTGCAGATGTCTGCAATGGGAGGAGCACAGCTGCCAGGCCACGCTCCAGCAGCACTATGTGGGCACAAAGGATGAGCTCCACGCAGCACAGCAGTGCCATAGCAAAGCAGCAGCCCTGCCCTGCTGTCACTGAGGTTGTTTGGGGTCCTACGTGACACAAGCAGCAGCAGCAGCACCATTTTTAGCTTTAGCACTGGCCCTGCTGCTCTGTGGAACTGTGAGTCCTGTTCCAGGTGGGTGATGGAGCGCCCTGCTACAGGCAGTGCTGGCTGCAGAACTCCTCTTCCCTGCAGAAGGATTCCCATTTCCCAGCAGGAGAGGCTTCGCTGCTTGAGAGGCGGCTGAAGGCAAATGCAGCAGGGGCGGCTGCAGAGCAGCGCAGAGGCACACTGATGGATCCATGGGCTTCCTTCAGAGATCTCACAACAAAAAGCCCAGCAGCCACAGGAACACAGCATGGGCCCCCAGCCCTCCTGAGCCGCCCCACGCCATCCCATCAGAACCAACATCAGGTCCCAGAAACTGCCCACTCTGAAGCACCACCGTCCTCAGAGCAGCAGCTACATTCAAATTGTTATGAAATAAAGCAATTCAGTAAACGAGGAGAACATGATATCGACACAAAAGACACCATTTCCCACAGGGTTTTGTCTGGAGGGCTCCTACAGCACCATGTGGGAGCTCAGCCACATGGAAGACCCACCTGTAAAGAAAGCCCCAGTTCCTCACCTCACCAAAACAATCAAAGCTGAGAGAAAGAATGAACCCCACCCCCACCCCCCACAGCAGAACCAAACCTCCAGCACAACCCAGATGATTCAACTGCAGCACCGTTAAGCTTCGGTGGACTGTATTTAAATTAAAACAAGGCATTTAAAAGCTACCAGCACTAAAAGACCCTCACTGCTCACACCAGCCATGCCCCACACACACGGCACCGCAGCCTCCTCCACGAGTTGGGGGATGTGGTGATGTGCAAAGTCGTTCCCACGGAGCAGCACCCTGCCCCAAAGCCAGCTCCCAGCCAGCACCCAGGTTGCTCAGTTCCAGTGGTGACCGCAGCATTCCCAATAGGACAAGAGTTGAGGAGAGCAAACACCAGATAACCACCAGCAGGAGCAGGCTGCAGCTTTCCCCCCCGCCATGGGGTGCAGTCTTTGTTCACTTTTTTGGCCCTCAGAGTTTCTTCAAGCGACTGTACAGCTCCCGTTTGCTCCTCTCGCCGGCCCAGGTTCGGCTCTTGGTGCGAAATCTTTTCAAGTCTTCTTTAAAGTCCTCGTGGTGCATGGGCCGGTAGCTCTGGGGCTCACAGAAACTCTGGGGGAAGAAATGGGTTCATTTCTGGTTTCATTTTACTGCGTCACAGGGCAGCGGGCTCTGAGCACAGCCAGCAGAGCCCGGCAGCAGCTGCTCACACCACTGCCACCAGAACAAACCACACAGGAGCCCCACTGAGCTGCAGCCACACATCAGATATTGATGAGCAAGGCCAAGTGACCTTCAGATTACAGCTACTTCTGAAGCGAGAGCTACTAAACAAAGGACTTTTGGCCCCGCAGACAGAGCTCTCACCCCAAGTTTTTTAGCAGACTTCAATATACAGCACAAGCAAGCAAAACATATTCAGCATTCACTCTGAAGTAACACAGATTTGGAAAACACTTGCTTCTCCTCCGGCTCAGCCAGCCCCCATCTCACAGAGCAGCACATGGAACACTGCCATCAGCTGTTCCATGCTGCCACCTCGAGGCCCTCCAGCCCAGAGCCAGAACAATCCTGGGGCACCCACAGCCACACAGGGCCAAAAACACAGCAGTACCCACCACTGTGAACAGCAGCAACCCAAATGCTGGGATATCACAGGTGGCAAACATGGGGAGCAGCACACAGCACTGCCCTGCCCCAGAAACACAGATGCAGGAAGGCTGAGCATCTCACATCTGCTTGGAACTGCAGCAGTTCTCAAAGCAGAGCAGTAACCAAAGAGATCCAAAGTGTGAGGCCCTGGGAGGGACTGAAGTGAGAGGCAGGCCATGGTTCGTAGCACCAGACAGGGAGAAATGGCATACAGTGACTGAAGTGCTGCAGAAGCACAATGAGAAACACCATGATGGGAAGAGCTGCCAGGCTCTTATTGGTCTCCTCTTTGGAAGGACAGGTTGGAAACTCAGAACTCAAGTTTTCTGATTTTGCTTTTTAGTACAGCAGAAGGCTTGAGGTTTCTATGTGTCATGCAGCAATTACTGCCAGGTCTCTCCACCTAGCCTGCAAAGACTAAGAGAAAAGTCTTAAACTCCTTCTCTGTGTAATATTTTGAACTCCTACTAGCTACAGAAAGACAAAACAGTTTCAGATCTTACTCTAGAGACAAGAGGAAAAGCCTCCCAGCCATGGCAGCAAGGCAGTTCTGCGGTATGGAATCAGTTTAGAGAAATGAGGGCACTGTTGCTGCCAAGTTCTGACTGCTCTCAGTGCAGGGCTGTGCTGTGAAACAGCAGAAAGAAAAATACCCGAGGAAAAACACTCTCTGCTCCACAGAGAAGTCTGATTTGAGTTTTGGCTATTGTGAGAGCAGAAATGTGGAGTTTCAGGGAGCGTTACTTACCCGGCACCGCAGGAAGAAGTCCCTGTACCCCCCCTTGAGGACATACAGCTCTGGGTAATGCAGGTTGGGATACTCATTCCCCAGCCTGTCCCGCTCCCTCACAAAGCGGCACCTGCAGATGAGACCCCGTGTTAAAGATGGCATTAAGAACAAGGAGAGCAGTGCCTCCCCTGCCCTCCACAGCTCTCACGGGGGTGTGTGGGTAACTCACATCCTGGGCCCCCGCTCCGAGGAGAACTCGCAGTGGAAGACGACGATCACCCGTTTGTTCTTTGAGGGAGGGATGGGGTTCTTAAGCAGGAAATCTTCCACATCCTCCTCCATGTGGAGGTTTACAGCACCCTGTGAAGGCAGCCACACCCCAGGGCACACAGTAAGCAATGAGTGCCATCCCACTCCTGCCAACCCTCTGCTTGATACTGGGGACAAAGCCTCAAACCCAATCAGACACCGCGCACAGCCCAGTGCTGCACTGCCTCCCATTTCAGAGGGCCCCATCAGCAGCTGGAGGTGTCCAGTTGGATTTCACTCCTTGTATTGGAGAGAGGCAGCAAGCTTACTGAGCAACAAGCTTTAAGAACACCCTCCACAGCCACTCATTCTGTAGCAGAAGTGGTTTAAATGAAGTGAAATACTCCTCTCAGTACCTCAGAGATGAGGATGCTGAGCACTGCAGGTCACACACCCTCCCCTGGAGCTGCCTGCCCACTTATCTCCTCCTCTGCAGAAGGAGAAGGGAAGCAGTTCCCCCCCTTACAGAGCAGCCATTCCACAAAGCAAATGTGTGTGCAGACCCAAACTGCACAAAGGCACAATGAGAGCCCAGGGCTGCTGTTCCACACAGCTCTGCCTTGCTCTCCCACTACCACAGCATACCTTGATGTGTCCTCCTTCGTACTCGTACGGATAGCGGCAGTCGATGATCACACACTGCTTAATGAAGCTTGCAAACTTCCCAGTCAGGACAGACACAATCTGCAAAAAAAAAAAAAAAAAAAAAGCATTTTAATTGTTTTGAAGGCTTTTAAAACTATTTAAGTAAAGAATGTCTCGCTGTCCCCAGAGCACATACCATTTCTGAGTCAATGTATTTTAAATCTTGATGCTTCCCGTCAACAGTGTGGAACAAATAACCCTAGAAAACAGACAGCATTTAGCAGAGAACATTCCAGCCAGGAGCCACACGCTCAGCAGTGCAGCAGTCAGCTTCAGAACACACACTGCATTGACAAGGATCTCTTGAGCTAAGCATAACATTTAAAACTCCAGAACCCCAAGGTTCAGGGACACAGCTTTTCTTTGTCTCCTACACTGAAGATCTTGTAGAAGTCACTTCAGCACTGATCTATCAGAGTACCATTCTCACTGGCAGCCTTCACCAGTGACTGGGGATGTACTGCGAAGAAGGGAAGCGCTTCACTTGGGGTTGGTTCCTACCGCCTCTCTAAAAGAGGCCATTAAACCAAATCATGTAATTACCTTTGAGAAGTCACCAATAAGGTCCCTCTGGTCACTGGCCAAAATGCTCTCGATTTCTGCTGCAGAGGATTGTGTCTTTACTATTTTTGTGCTCTAGAAGAAGACAGGTTAGAGATGAGTGCCAAACACTGATGGTATGAGACCCTTTCCCCATAAGGTAAGAGAAGAGTCAGCATTTACTGACAGCCTAATGCACAGCTTCCCTTTAGAATCAATACAGGGCTTCAGAACACACAGCTACTGCACCACCTCCATCAGCCCCACACCACACTGTTAGACCAGCACTCCCCCCACTAAGCTCACCCTCAATGACCTTCACAAATGAGACCCCTCTATCTGAGCTCTAATCAATTCTCCAGCACAACACCAAGCCACCAACCGCTGAGTCTTCAGACTGTGCTCCAGGCAGGCTTTTCCTCTTCTTGCTTTTCCCTGGAGAACTCTCCTCTTGGGACCTCTCCATTCTTTTCTGGGTGGTTCTGCCTACAACGCTGGGCAGAGACGAAGAGCCAAAGAGGCGGCATCGCCTGGCCTGTGGGAAGAGACAGTGAAAAAGTCCAGCAAAGATCAAGACTAGGAACTAAGCAAGCCTCAGATTTCAAGACTACCCGGTCTAGCATCAAATGCTGGCAGCCCTGCCTGCAGCAGAGGGGTGAAAGCTTGATGATCCTTGGGGTTCCTTCCAACTCAAGTCATTCTATGATATGATGATAGCAGGACAAGGGGAAATGGTTTGAAGATGAAGGAGGGCAGATTGAGGTTGGATGTCAGGGGGAAGTTGTTTGCTGTGAGAGTGGTGAGGTGCTGGAACAGCTGCCCAGAGAGGCTGTGGATGCCCCGTCCATCCCTGCAGGTGTTCAAGGCCAGGTTGGATGGGGCCCTGGGCAGCCTGGGCTGCTGTGAAATGTGGAGGTTGGTGGCCCTGCATTGGTGGGGGGTTGGAGCTTCGTGATCCTTGAGGTCCCTTCCAACCCAAGCCATTCTATATGATATGATACGATAATATGACTGCAGTAAAGTTTGGCTCATCTAAGGTGCTGTCACAGCACAGCAACAGCTCAGGATCACCTACACTGGGGGCTTACATTCCCACTAACACTTGTTTCTGGCTGTGAGGACAGGCGAGCTCAGAGCACAGTGTGATGTGCTGGCAGAATGCTTTGTATCAACCAGCAGACCATCTACCAGCAGATTCTGAGCCTCCTGTTGGAGCCTGCATTGCCCTTACAGCCTATTATCTGAAGCCTGGGCTACAGGCATCCCAGGTAAGGCTGTGAGAGCTGTATTCAAGATACATCAGTATCTGATAAGGGAAGCCAAGATCTCCTCCCATTTATAAGTGTGTCTGTAAGAAGCAAGTTAACGTGGATACATACCCACTGTGAGCACTGTCCTACACTGACACAACCTCCCAGGCAGCAGGCTTAACAGTAACACAATCCTGCAGGGGTCTTACACTGCCCTGTTTTGTGATTGAGGGTACAGGATCAGAGCCACCACCACCACACGTGCAGACAGCCATGAGGACAGCACTCACCCGACTGTCCGGCCTCCTGCTGACCAGCGGCGCAGTCCAGAGGCTCGCCACGTCAGATGGCATCTCCTCATCATTCTGAGAAACAAAGAAAGTTCACTCTCATCTGCTTCCCTGCTGACAGACACTGTAAATACCTGAAGCTCCTGTAAGCTTGGGCAAACTTTACAGCTGCATTCAGCTGCCTGAGCAGTTTTAAGAACTCCATTACTGGCTGTTATTTCACTGAGTGATGAGCTGAGCCACATTGGAAAGGATAAGTTAAATCAATTCATTCATTGATTAAAAACGATGCCCTTCCAAAGCCTTAAGCATGTCGAGTTCAGTAGGAACTGGACTTCTGTTTAAGTGATCTGAAAGCAAATATTACCTTCAGCTCCCTCAGAGAGTTTCTAAAGAAAACACCAACTCTTCCAATCATCCTCTATAGCTTCACAATTCAAATACCAGTAGGAACAGCAGCAATACCTCTCTAACTGCTGTTCACACACCAAGCAAATCCCATTATCTGCACTAGGGAACAGCACAAAAACAGAGACGCTACAGTGGAAGAGTTGAGAAACATAACTGAGTTTTTCAGGAATCTCTCATGCCTGCCTACTTGCAGTCTGAATTACCACCAGAACATGCATGTGCTGCAGGCTCCACATCATACAGAGCTGATTTTAGAAGAGCATCACACTTCTTTTGTACCTACTTTCAGATCTTGCTCGTCTAAGAGCTCCAGGAATCCATCATCATCTTCGCTTTCAGAGGAAGTCAGAGAAGGCTGCTGCAGGAAAGCTGGCCTGTAGTTTTCTAGTTCACCAGTGGACATTTCTTGAGTGGGAAACTGAGACAAAACATTTAGTTTTAACAACATTCCTCCTCTTTACAGCAGGATGCTGCAGACAGAAACAGTGCCATCTCACTGTGGTGATTAACATAGTGGTTAATCCAGCACCTTGAATGCACTGACCTGAGCAAACCCCAAACCAAGCCCCCATACTTTATTTGGTCCATTAGCCTGGTTAATCAATAGAGCCCCTGTCTTGGAAACACCAGATAGTGAAGGTATGAAGGAGAGAAACAGATGATGGCAGAGGAACAGGAACTAATACTAAACTCTGCACTCAATAAACACAAGGTCAGGAGTACCAAGATGAAGCACTACCACATTCAACGAGTATAGACAGGACTTGCCCCCCAGGCTCTGTTTCTGTGCAAGGATCCAACTGCACCTACTCTGCACTGATATCCACACTCACTGGATGTTCTGCAACACAGCCACAACTCAGTACTGCCCAGTGTCTCAGACTCATTAGCCAAACAAAACAGATTTTCACATCTGTTCACAGACGGATAAGCTGCCTATTGGGCACATGAATAGTGATGATATTAACAGCACTGTCCCAAAAAGAGCCATGACACAGTTTTTCCTCCTCCCAGCAGGTATGCAGAGGATAGAAGAATTACTACCAAGACCACTGAGGTACTTACTCCCTGAGCCAGGGCTGAGTTCTGCCTTTGGCCAAGAACACTTTTCCCATCGTGGGAGTGGATGTGTACAGAACTCCGAGAAGCTGGCTTGGCTGGCTTCTTAAACTCAAATGATTCCTGAAGAGAGAAAAGTGATTGGTTTACCAAAATAATGAACTGTGCACACTGCCAGGACCTTTGTACCTCCTTTCTCCCCCATTTAAGCTACCTGATGTTTTGAATTCAAGTTCCCTGCTGCCAAACAGGAATAGTCTGAGTGTGTTGTAACATCTTTGCTTTGAAAACATTCAGTGATTCACCTAACACAACCAAGTTCTCATCTCATTATCTGCAGGCTCAAGGCATTTTGGTTTTCTTTTGTTGGTCGAGTTCTCTGCTAAAGAAGCCATGGTAAGGCAGCTACAGCTGCAGCCTGCTCAGCAGAACATCGCCGGCTGCTGGGTGATGGTGCCTGTCAGCACCCTGCACACAGCACTGCCAGCAGCAAGGCCTCCCAGAGCACAAAGATAAAGGCACAGCTGTGCTGCTGAGGAACCAGGGCTCCTCACATCAGGGATGAAAGAAGGTATGGAGATCTAGGCAGCCTCCTGGAGGCACCCCTCACAGATACCCAAGGTCAGCATTATGGAAACTTTTTGCCTTGCCATAGACCAAGAGGAGCCAGGTGCTACAGCAAGGAGGAAGAAGCTGTACAATTAAAGTCTCCCTCCTTGTTATCAACCTACCATCAGTTTGCAGTCACTGTAATCAGTGTTGTCACATTTTGCTGCAATTTTCTCTAAGCTGAGCTGCACAAAGCTTTATGATGTCTGAGCTGCAGTCTGGCCGGCGGCTCCCACCATGTCTGCCCATGAAGGAGTGCTGATTCAGCTTCCTCAGCACCACCTCTCACACCACACCATCTCCTGAGACAACATGCAATACTCACATTCTCCTTATTCTCATTCTGTTCTAGGAGCTGAAAAGCATTACAATCCATGGAATCCGAATGGCTTCTCTTCAGAGCAGGACTGGAGCCCAGGAGTCTTTGCTACACAATTCAGACAGAAGTGCCAGTTAAGCATCATCCAGTGCAGCCTCTGCACAAGTACATCTTAAGCACAAGAGGGACATTAACAGCACTGTGAGGTCTACGTTTGCAAGTGAGTGCAGGCTGTGTGCAGGGGTTTCAGCTGCATTAGCAACAGACAAAGCTACATAGGTGAAATCCTACAGCCAACAAACAAACTAGATTTCAAGTTTATAAGCCACAGCTTTCAGTTCCCAATCAACTACCACAACAGCTGTTCTTGAAGAGCATAAATTAACAAGATGTGGGAGGTTCCCAACTAAAAACAGTTAACACAGTAAACCCTTTAACATTTATGCAAGGTCAGTACTACCCTCACTTACCGGCAGCGAATGTATTCTTCTGAGAGGCAGTCGAAGGCTACAATGAGAAAGAACACATTTATTTCCAACATTTCCTTTTGAAAGACAGTAATGAGAGTAACATTCCCTGTTTCCATAGAGATATAAAGCTGGAGGCAAATCCATAGCAGTGACTGGAAGTTAGACAGAAAAATACTTACTTCAGTCTGCTAGATGCAAGAATTGCCTTCTCAAATCTGAAAGAGAAATGCCCCACAGTTAACAACAAAGGATAACACACTCAAAAATCAACCTTGTATTTAAAGTCACAGAGCTAAACAGAAGCCAGATGCTTCCTGATAACACTGTCCTTCTCAAAAGGTATTTATGGCCAGCTTATCCCACCCTGTTTTTTAAAGCTCTTGCTGGAATCCCACTCTCCCTCCTTTCCTCAAAGGACTTCCAGCACTGATTAGACATGAAGCTGAGAAAAGCTGGGGAAATTGAGGACCAAAGGCATCTGTCCCCCACCCCCAGGATAAAAGATTAGGAAATGTGTTTATTTAAATCTAATCAAGAGGGACAAATTCAATGCTAAAAGCAATTGCATGGAATCAGTTAAGACATACCCAAGCAAAAGCTTACAGTTAAGCACTGAGAGCAAGCTGCAGCTTACACACACTGCAGGCTGCCACAGCTCACTGACCTGCAAGCACTGGGGACAGACAGCACAGCAAGGCAGCACCTGCACTTGCAGATTGTGGGAGCACACCCTTCTAGAAGGGTAAAATAAGAGCCCCTACACACGTGCCAGCAAAGGAGGAGCCCTGTCAAGCCTCTCATCAGCCTACATGTGTTAACAGTGCAGTGTGAGACTGCAGAGGTCAGGCTGAGCATCTGCTTACGTACGTTTCCTCTCTGATGTCGCTGGGGGTCGGAGTGCCAGGAGAATCCAAGGCACAACCTGCAGAACAGACAGCATTTCATAGTGAGTCCTGGCTCAGTCCGTTGGGAATGCAAAGCACTGGGCACAGCACCAAAAGGTGCTGTGCTCAGACTGAAACTGACATTGAAAGCTGTCCTTTGCACACAGCAGCACACTGAAATAAAGGCAAGCACTCCATGCACAACACGAGCAGAACATCACCGCTGCACAGCAGCTTCTAAACACTGCCAGATACAAAACCTGCTGAAACAGACCTGAGGAGACCTTGTGCTCTGCTAGCATGCACAAGCCCCAGTGACAGCCCCACAGCTCAGCAGAACGCTCTGTTCCATCAGGATGAGACTTGTTGCTCCTTCAGCCTCTGTGATCTGAACCAACACAGAACGAACCTGAGTAACACGACAGGCACTCAGCACAGCACGGACCTTAATCCTAAGTAGATCTGCTAAGGAGACAGGGAGAAGAGAGCCAAGCAGCAGAGATGCAGCCAGTTCAGTTCCTTATCTCCCTGTAGCCAGCCAGCTGCACTTGCTTTTTAGTGCTTCCTTTGAAGGCTGAAGTACTACACAGAGAATCTGGTGCAGAAACTCAGGTGGAAGCACTGATTTCCATCAGTGAGACAGACAGTGACGTATCAAAAGCTCTCCCTATTCTACAAGTCACAGGGTAATACCTTATTTTATTTCCACTGATAAAAGCCACTTCATCTGAAGAAAAAAATAAAGAGAACTTCTCAACAAGCATCAGTACTACAACAGCTCCCCAGCCTGAGAGTGACATCAGCACACACAGGCAGAAAGCCACAGACAAAACCCAAGCCACAAGAGAAACCCTGCTTGGTAGCCTCCATGTGAGCATGCAGCAGTATAGCAGAGTTTGGGTTTAAAGAGAGAAACCACAGACCAACACCTCAGAGTTATCACCCTCCAAAGGGGAGGGACTCAACCTGGACCCACACTGAGCTGAAGGCAGATATGTGCTGTGTCCCAACAGCAAACAGCAGAACATTACCTCAGCTTCCAGACCACAGCTCCAGTACACAGACATGAGCACTCACAAAGCAGCACCAGCTCACTAGGGCAGCCTGCCTCAGCTATCTTCAACAGCACTCATCCTCAGCCAGCTCTTCTGCAAGGGCTGACCCACTCCCAATAAGGTGCAGACCTACTGCTGTGTACGGCGCACAGCATCGAGGCACCAGCAAACAGCACTGACACAAAGGAGTTTGTCTCTCCAGTCAGTGCTGGAGCACAAAGCAAGATAGGTCAGCAGCCATATCTAACAGTTATCCTAAGAGTATTCATTATTCCATCAGCAGAGGGGTGGCCAGCAGGGACAGGGAGGTGATTGTCCCTCTCTGCTCTGCCCTCATAAGGCTCACACTGCAGCACTGCATCCAGATCTGGAGCCCCCAGTACAAGAAAGACAGGGAGCTTTTGGAGAGGGTCCAGAGGAGCCACAAAGGTGATCAGGGGCTGCAGCACCTCCACTACAAAGACAGGCTGAGGGAGCTGGGCTTGTTCAGCATGGAGAAGAGAAGCTGCGGGGTGAATCATTGCAGCCTTCAGCACCTCAAGGGAGCCTACAGACAGGAGGGGAGTCAGCTCTTGGGAAGGGGAGATAACAGCAGGACAAGGGGAAATGGTTGGAAGTTGAGGAAGAACAGATTTCAGTTGGATGTGAGGGGGAAGTTGTTTGCTGTGAGAGTGGTGAGGTGCTGGAACAGCTGCCCAGAGAGGCTGTGGATGCCCCGTCCATCCCTGAGGTGTTCAAGGCCAGGTTGGATGGGGCTCTGGGCAGCCTGGGCTGCTGTGAAATGTGGAGGTTGGTGGCCCTGCATTGGTGGGGGGTTGGAGCTTCGTGATCCTTGAGGTCCCTTCCAAGCCAAGGCATTCTGTGATAAGAAGCAAAAAGAAATGCTCTCTCTGCCATGCCCCCTTTGGAGCCAGAACCAGTTTTTCCTCCATGCTAACCCCACTGCAAACAGGCTAAGACAATTAGAAGAGAAAACAACCCAAAATATGGGCTGCAGGAGATTTCTGTTGCTCAGCAGACAAGCTTGCCTTCCTCCATAAGTGTGATGGTGAGAAATGGCTGCAGGGACCAAAGGCAGCACTATTTCTGTATTCAAAGCTGTAAGAAGAATAAGAATGCAGTGCTTTTCATCCCTTACTTATTATTTACTGAGAACACCATACCTGAATCTGTTGATTCTGAGGACACAGTTCTTTGCAAACCATTGCCACTCTTGTTTCCCAGGTCTTGTTCAGTATTTTCACGCTGACTGTAAAAGAAGGAATTTTAAATGTCTTTTAAGTGAGAAATACAAAATAGGAGCACAAGAAAGCAGACATACAGTACAGGACTGAGGGCCTTTCAGTCACCTTGCACCACACCACCAAACCTTTTGCACAACACACAAACCAGGAGGTTTTGTGTTGGCTTTTTTTTTCTCCTCTGTGACTGTTTCAGAGCCTCTCATGCTCTTGTGCCTTCACAAATGAAGGATTTAATACAACAAAACAACAGCTTGCAATAGAAGTTCAGTATGAAAACCACTTTGTGGAGTGTGATATTGGTGCCTGGAGGCACAGCAGCACCTCCCAAACTGTTCTCTGGGAACACCCCTATCAGCAGCCTATTATCTCTCCCAGGACTGTAACCTCCTCTCCAGCACTGATTTCATGATTGTTTTGCATATAAAAATGAGCTTTGAGTTTGAGAACTGGGGGATTTGGGCTGCTTTGGCTTTAGGGATTTTTTTTTATTATTATTATTATTTTTTTTTAAGCAGAGAAGTTGTTAAAGCTCAAGCTTGAGCCCAAGCCCTTCCCTGCCCACCCAACCTCAAGTGGCTGCAGCCCCCTCCACTTCCTGGGCACAGGAGCACTGTGGGCACACACTCCTAACACACGTGGGCAGCCCTGGTGCAGGAAATACATCATGCAGAGCATTCCTCTACATCACCTTTAAATGAGGGAAAAGTTACCAAATGAGGCTGCTCTTAACATATTGATTAACTCAAAAGATGAAGCAGGGCACAAGGTGGGGGTACAAAGCCAGGGGCAGAACCTCCAACAGGGAAAGGCCCAGTGGGACTCATTAACAGGAATCCCTGGAATCTGAAGGCGGGAAGGATCACAGGGCTGAATACAGAAATAAGAACCATCTAAAAGCAAGCAGCAAAGGAGAAATACCAGCAGGGCATTCAGGACTGAACAGGAGGTCAGAGTGAGAAGGGAGCCATACTGCAGAGAAGAAGGGAGCAAACTGTAGAGCAGGAAAAGCACCCACGGAGTGGGATGAAATGAGACGCCCAGAGCAGAGTGAGGGAAGATGGTGGCACGTGGGGATGTGGGAACAGGCCGGCACCATGTGCGGGCAGGAGAGCAGGGCGGGAGGGAAGGGAGGGGGGCGAGGGGTGATGTGAGCAGCAGGGGGAAGGAGAGACACGGTAGGGCTGGGAGGAGGGCAGGGAGGAGCGGGGCATCGTTTTGAGGGTGGGGGGGCGGCACGGAAAGAACTGCCCCGTGGTTGGGGTGAGGGATCTCCAGGCCTCGGTTTGGGGGTTGCTGAGATCCTGGAAGCCTCGGTTTGGATGGGGAAAAAAGGGGTGGGGAAAGGCTCATCAAAGGCTCCGTAAAGGGGTACGGGGGGAGCGGGGAGACCCCGGGCCGCGGCTTTAGGGACTGAAGAAGTCCTGGAGGGCTCAGATTGGAGGGGGAGAAATGGGGCCTTAAGGCGTCGTTGGGGAGGGAGTTGAGGGGGCGGGAATACGGGGTTCTTCACGCGTTACTCGAGGGGCAGGGAGGAAGAGCTCCTTTCTGCCCGGGGGTTGGGGAGCACTGAAGCGTGAGGAGCCCCCAGGCCGGGGCTGCGATGGGAAGGCCCTGCCGGCCTCGCTGCTGTAAGGGGGGGGAGAGAAACCCCGCAGGCTTCGTTCCGGGGCCAAGGGGAGAAGGGGAGGCCCAGGAGGCGCCGGTTAAGGGGGTAAAAGAGGGCCGCGGTGGGCTCGGACTGACCCGTGTCCCAGCTGCTCCATGGTGAGGCGAAGATCCGAGACCGGCGAGAGCTCGGCGGGAAACAGAGACTTGACCACGGCGGCGGGGGAAGCCGGAGAGAGGTGCGGGAGGCGGCGGCGGGAGGCGGCCGGTGCGGGATCCATGGGGCCGAGCTGCGCCGAAGCGAACCGAGCGCCGCCGTCCTCCTGTCAGCGCCGCCCGCGCCGCTTTGACCCCGGCCGCCACCCGTCGCTGGCGCCAAACCGCCTCTCCGCCAATCAGAAGCCGCCTCGGAGCGGCGCGGGGAGGGGGAGGGCTTTTCTCTTCAGCTCTCCCCTCCTCTGACCAATCGGAGAGGAGGGAGGAGCCAACTCGTCATTGATTGGCAGGCTCTGTCCAATAGGAAGAGGTTACCCCACTGACCTGGCTGCGGAACTGCATTTCCCGGCGTGCAACCGCAAGAGAACGCGTAGCCCGCCTCGCCGGTGCACGCTGGGAAATGTAGTCCTGCCTCAGAAGCGCGCCTCCCTCACCCCCACTCGGCCCGAAGGGGTTAAAAAAAAAAAAAAAGGAAAGATGAGGAAAAACTCGCACAAAATCAGGCAAAAACCGGGCCTTGGTGAGCCAAAGAGCTCCTCCCGTGTCATTTCTGGCCCACAGAGATCCTTGTGAAAGCGGTCAGCGAGCACCGCCCGCAGGAAGATGGCGGCGGGGCACAAAGGTGCAGAGCCGCCGAGACGTGAGAGACGAACGGCGCAAACCGCCCGGGGACACCGCGCCGCGCGCACACCGGAGGAAAGCATGGCGGCACTGGGACACGGGCAGCCCGGCAGCGGTGTAAGAAGGAACAGGACGGGCTCTGCTGCACGGCCTGCGGGATGGCATGAAGGGAAACGGCTGCGAACTAAAAGAGGGGAGATTTCTGTGGATGTAGGAAGTTCATATACTGAGGGCGGCGAGGCGCTGCACTGAGAGCTGTGGTGCCCCATCCCACAGACACACACAGACGGATGGGCTGTGAGCACTGACGGAGCCGTGGGTGTCCCTGTGCACTGCAGGGATTTGGACCAGGCCTTTACACATCCCTTCCAAATCAATCAATTCAGGGATTCTACAGTTCTGTGATTTTAATGCTCCAAAGGACTCAGCAGGAGGAGGTGCAGCAACGACCAGGGCAGAGGTGCAGTGAGTTTGCAGTGATGCCGTGCCATCCCCATGCTCATCAGCCCAGGACACGGGCAGGGGAGCAGGAGGTGACCGACTCCATCAGGAGCACAGCTTGATGTAGGTTCCTGGCAGCCAGAGCCAGAAGTAGGGGAAGACCTTCTCGCTGAAGGAGACTTTGAACTGCAGGATCTGTCGCATGTTGTCAGTGTTGTAGAAGGTTACTAGCCCAGCCTCATAGTCCAGATGGACCCTGATACGCCGTGGTTCTTCCTCCAGGCTCAGCGGGGCGGGCGGCATGGTCAGCACTGTGTAGTTGCGGTCCCAGTCCATCCGCAGGGCCCAAATCTTTTCCATGGCCACCATGAGTGGCTCCTTCCTCTGCACAGACTCCAGGGCCACCCCCACAGCCCAGTTATTCCCATCCCCAACCTCCAGCTCCCAGTAGTGCCTCCCAGCTGTGAAGCCCTCAGATCCCAGCACGCTGGCGGTGCCAGTAAACCTCTTGGGAGTGTCAGGGAGGTCCTGCATTCCTTCTGCCATCTGCAGGGTTCTGCAGTCACTTGAGATGGTCAGGTATGGGCTTGCTGTCTCGAGGTCCAGCAACACTTTCACTAATGCACAACAGAGAAGGATCAGCCTGCTGCCTGCTGAGAAGCCAGCCAGCACCTTTCCTTCCTCATCCATTGGGCTGGGACAGGTCCTACAAGCACAGCATGCAACTACGACCCACCAGAAATGCAGTATGCACAGCTTCCTCAGTGGGCACAGACATGGGGCACAAAGCACCTGCTGTTCTCCCCATCAGTCCCACAAGAGGAACAGAGCTGCTCTGCTTCCCAGAGGAAGGCTGCAAGGCAGTGCTGAGGCCAGGCAGGTCTGGCTGCTGTGATGGTGAGCTCTGCTGCTCCTAACCCTGCTCTGGGGAGCAGAGCTGTGTGACCACATGGAACGTCACCCTGGGCCTAAGAGGTGTCACCACACAGGGCCACCACCACAGGCCCTCCACTGAGCCCTGGAGCCTCATATCCCAGACTGCAGTGCAGGGGAAACTGAGACTCATCATCCCCAATGCTGAGAGGGCAGGGAGCAGCCAGGCTGCAAATGGTTTAAACTGGGACATCAAAACCACAAACCCCACCATGCTGCTGGGACTGCTCACAAGGCTCTTCCAATCTGTGCCTAAAAGTTGGCCAAGGTTGTACATAGGCCCACAAGTGCTCCAGATCATGGCACAAGAATGGAAAGTTCTTCAGAGCCAGCGAGCCCAGCTGTCATTTGGTGTTGGGCACCTCTGGGTGGCTCCTGGCACAGGGCTGACCTGAGTTTGTACAGCAGACAAAAGCAAGAGGCCCAGCTTTATATGGCCACTGCATTTAGATGTTGTGCTGTGAACCCACCACCGCCCCAAGGAGGTAAGGAAACATTTCAGGAATGTTTTTCCCTTGTTTGTCCCACCAGCTTGAGCAAACTTACCTCTTTCTGTGTCCAACTTGTTCAGCAGGTTCACTGCAGGAAGGAAAGGGAAATGCATGAGGGCTCTGGGAAGTGTGGGTCAGAAGCAGAGCCCATCCCCAGCTCCTGCAGCCCCAAGTCCGGCAGTGCCCATCTAGGAGCTGCCTCAGCCCGGAGCCCACTGGAACCGTGGCTGCCAATCCAACATCGCTCGCTGACTTTTTACCTCTGAAGTCACCCAGCACAGCCCGGACCAGCTCGCTCGTCTTGCACAGGTTGCTGACTGTCCTCTGCAGCTCTGGGGAGACCGGCTCTGGGACAGGGAGCTTTGCTTTCATGCACCTGGGGGAGACAGCCTGCAGGGAGCCCACATCCAGAACCAGGAGGGAAACGGGCACAAGCGAGGGGACAGATGTCACCCAACACCCCAGGGCCTGGCTGGGGTCAGTGCCTCCCAGGCACCGACACAGAAACCCCATCACACTTAGGTCCTAACTACTAAGTGGGGCAAAACCACCTCCTCCTAGCAGCTGCTGCTCAGCATCCAGCAGGTTCCCAAGCATCTGCCCAGTGCTCTGCACAGTTCATACCTGTCCAGAATGCCAGCAACATCCTGGGAGAGAGAAAGCATCAGTCAGGGCTTACAGCGCTGGGGAGCAGCGCAGCCCCCAGGTGCTGAGTTCCAGCATGTAGCCCAGTGATGGGGAGCAGTGGTGACACTGGGATTTGTCACCCAAATCCCTCAGCTCAACCACAGCCTCACCATCAGGAACTCAACCGCCGGCTGGTCACGTTTCTTCTGGATCTCCACAACCAGCTCCTCCAGCAGCTTTCTCCTCTCTGAAACACGGCAGACGTACTCTTGGTGCTGCTCAGTGAGCCTCTCGTGTGCCTCATCGAGCTGGGCCAGCAGTGTGCCCTCCTGCTCCTTCAGAAACTGCTGCAGCTGCTCAAAGGCAGCACAAAGCTTCTGCTGCTCTGAGGCCACTGTCCCCTGTGAGACACCCGGCCCTGAGCACCCCATCTGCTGTGGGGAGGGGACGGGGATCACAGCGAGGAGACAGAGTCTGGGGGGGAAAAGGGTGGATGTACAGAAGGTTATATGGGATGGACAGATGGGAGGACATAGGAGATGGGTATGTGGAAAAATATACAGGATGGATGAGCAGGATGGACGGGGCAGACATATGGAAGAGGATATGGCATGGACATAAGGAAGGATATATGGGATGGACACTTGGAAGGAGACATGGGATGGATGTATGGATGGAGATATGGGACTGACATATAGAAGGAGGTATGGGATGGACAGGGTGGGAGAGAGAAAACAGCAGTGTTGTTCTGGAGAAGAAGTATGAATGGGGAGAAGGGCTGCACCCCCAAAGAGGTGGGTGAACAGACAGGGAGCGCAGGGCAGAGAAGGGCACATACCATCAGCACGTCACTTCTGGTTTCTCCTTCGGGATTAAACTCTTCCTTCTCTTTCTCTAGAAATGCCAGATTGCTCTGGAGTGTCTCCTGGAAAAAAAAAGGAAAAAGCAAATCCTGCACTCTGAGCATTACGTTTGCAAGATGGTGACACCCAACAACCCTATGGGGACAACACCGCTGTGCAGCATGGGGTGAGCGGGGTGTATTTCTGAGCTTACCCCAAGGGGAAATGCTGAGCTCAGTGCCAGCCCCAGCTCACCCTGAGCACACCATGCACGGCTGCAAAGCACCTGGCACGCAGCTGCTTTGGCCAGAGCTGTGTCTGGAACAGCGTCATGTGGAAACCCTGATGTTTGTGGGTATTTTTAATTAGGAAAAAACAACTTTTGGTGTTGGAAGCGGGATCTGTGGGAAGAGGTTTGGAGCAACAGCAGAGCTGTGTCTCAGATGTGCTCCTAAATTCTCTGGAGTGATACAGAAGTGCCTCACTGACATATGGGGCGCTGGGGAGCTCAGGGGCTGCAGAGGGGTGAGCAAGACTGGGGGAGGTGAGGAGGCAGTGGGAGCTGCAGGAGAACTGTTAGCCCCAGCAGGGCAGCAGGGCCACGGAGTACAGCCCAGGGCCAGCTGGGAGCCAGCAAGCAGCTGGGATGGGCCCAGGGGGAACCTCCAGCCGTGTGGAGAGAGACCCCAGATCTCTGCTTTGAACAGACTCAGACACATGTCCAGAGAGAGCCCCAGGACAACGCCCAGCAGGAGCCCAGAGCTATGCCTAGGTAGGATCCATATTTGTAACTGAAATGGACCCAAAATCTGTGCCCAGAGGGGACCCTAACTCATGCCCATAGGGGACCCCAGCTCCATGCCTGGAAGAGATCTCAACTTGTGCCCAGTGGGGACCCCAGCCAGCGCCCAGAGCAAATCCTGACCTGTGCCCACTGAGTACACAAATCTGTGCGTAGATGGGACCCATATTTGTGCCTGAAAGGGACACCAAATCCGTGCCTTGAGGGGACCCCAACCTGTGCTCCTGTGCCTAGGGGGGATCCCAGCTCCATGCCTGGCAGAAACCCCAACCCACACAGAGGGAACCTCAGCTTCTACATGGAGAGGACCTCGACCCATGCCCAAGAAGGACCCTGACCTGTGCCCAGAGGGGACTCAAATTTGTGCCTAGATAGGATCCCAGATCTCTGCCTGGATGGGGCCGCAGATCAGATCTTAGAGGGGACCCCATTATGATCCCCTGTGCCAGATGGGACCCCCAGCTCCATGCCTGGAAGAGACCCCAACCTGTGCTGAGAGGGGATCTAGATCTGTACGTGAATTGGGCCCCACTGTCTGTGCCCAGTGGGACAAGAACCTGTGCCCAGACGGGACGCAGATCTGTACTTAGAGGGGACCCTGACCTGTGCTTGGGATCCAGGCCTGTGCTTAGATGGAGCCCATATTTATGCCTGAAAGACACCCCAAATCTGTGCCCAGAGGGGACCCTGAGCCACGTCCCGTACCCAGAAGGGACCCCAGCTCCAAGTTTGGATGACACCCCAGCCAGTGCCTACAGGGGACCCCCAGCCTGTGCCTATGGGGGGGGGTCCAGCTCCGTGCTCGGCCCACGCTTAGAGGGCCCCCAGCCCGTGCCTCTCGCACTTCAGGTACCCCGGCTCCACGCCCGCCCCGTGCCCCCCCGCCGGGCTCACCGCACCTCCGCGCCCGGCTCGGCCCCCCCAGACCCCCTTCCCGACCCCCTACCCTCGTTATCCTCGCTGCCTCCTCCGCCGGCCGGACCCGATGCCCGCCGTGCGGCCCCTCCTCGCGGCACCGCGGGCACAGCGCCTCCGAGCAGCTCAGGCAGAAGAGCTCGAAAGCCTCGCCGTGCTCGGGGCAGCGCGGCCGCTTGGCTTCTTCCCCCGCCGCGTCCTCCAGGGCGGCCGCCAGCTCGGCCACGGCGCCCAGCGGGAAGTTGGGCCGCAGCGAGCCGGGCTCGACGCTGGCGCGGCACTGCGGGCAGGCGGCGGGGCGCGGCGGGGAGCCCAGCAGCAGCCCGGCGCAGGCCGCGCACAGGCTGTGGCCGCAGGCGGTGAGCACGGGCCGGGAGAACAGCTCCAGGCACAGCGGGCACGTGGCCTCCGCCTGCAGCTGCTCGCCCAGCGACCGCAGCGCCCGCGCCATGGCGGGGCCGGAACGGCGGGGCGGGGCGGGAAGGACGGGGGGGGGCTTTGCGGGGGGGTGGGAGGTGGGGCGGCGCGGGGGTTCGGCTCGTGGGGCCGCCGTCAGACCTGCGGGGCGAGGCGGGCGGAGCTCCGTGCTGCTGAGCGGCCGTGTGCTGGGCGGGCGATGCGTGAGCGCTGTGCGAGGGCGTGTGCGTGTGCGTGTGTGTGTGTATTTGTGTGTGTGTGTGTGTGTGTGTACATGTGTGTGTGTGTGTGTATTTGTGTGTGTGTGTGTGTGTGTGTACATGTGTGTGTGTGTATTTGTGTGTGTGTATTTGTGTGTGCGTGTGTGTGTGTGTACATGTGTGTGTGTGTGTACATGTGTGTGTGTGTACATGTGTGTGTGTGTACATGTGTGTCTGCATACGTGTATGTATATGTGTGTGCGTCTACATTGTATGTGTGTGTACATGTGTGTGTACATGCATGTACAAGTGTGTACACATGTGTGTACAAGTGTGCACATGTGTGTGCACAGTGTCTGTACACGTGTGTACTGGTGTGTACTTGTGTGTGTACGCATGTGTGTACATGTATGTGTGCATGTGTATATGTGCACGTGTGTGTGTACATTGTGTACATCTGGGTGTGTGCACGTCTGTGTGTGCATATGTGTGTTTGTACATGTGTGTGTATCCATGTGTATTCATGTGTGTGTACATGTGTGTGTGCATGTGTATGCAGTGTGTGTACGTGTGTGTGCATGTGTAAGTTATCTATGTGTGTGTACATGTGTCTGTGTAGATGTGTGTGAATGTCTGTGTGTACGTCTGTGTGCATGTGCACGTGTGTTTGCACATGTGTATATGTGCACATCTGTGTATGTATGTGCACGTGCGTGTGTGTCCATGTCCATGTGTGTGTGTGTACATCTGTGTGTGCCTCCACATGAGTGTGTGTGTGCATCGGTATGTCCTTGTGTGGGCACAGGGATGTCCGTGTGTCCATATGTCTGTCCATGTTGGCATGGGGATGGATGTCAGTGCGTGTGTGTGTGTGTGCAAATGCGCATGTGCCTCTGTCTACATGTGCACTTGTGTGCGTTAATGTGGCTGTGGGGCTGGAGATGTCTGTATGGGGATGGATGTCAGTGTGCGTGTGTGTGCACGTGTGCATGTGTGTGCATGTGTGTGCATGCCTGCATGCCTTTGTGTTGGCACAGACACACGTGTGCATTTGTGTTCACTGAGTGCTTTGTGTTGTGCATCCGTGTGCATATGGATCAGTGTGTGCATGAATGTACTGCATGCGTGTGTGTGCATGTGTGTGTGCATGTGTGTGCACAGCTGCATGGCTTTTCATGAGCACACACATGCATGTGCACACACATTGTGCCACAGGTTTGAATTGCTTATGTGCATGAGTGCATGTGAATGTTTGTATGTATGCAAGTGTGCAACGTGTGTGTGTGCGTGTGCACTGACATACATGTGTTTCACTGAGTCTGTGCACATCCTGCATGCAGCCAGGGGGTGAACTCAGCCATTCTCATGGCTCCCTTCCAGCTCAGGACATTCTGTGTCCTGTTTGCATGCACTGCGCGTGCATCTGTGTGCACTGCTGTGCCCGCGATGTCTGCACACCTGTATGCGTGTGTGCATGTCTGTGCTCACACGTGGTTGTGTGTGTGTGCATCACTGCCTCCACGTGGCCGTGTGTGCACGTGGGTGGAGCTGTGCGTGTTTCTGTGGGGGTAAAACCAGGGCACTCCTGACTGCTGCAATGGAGCTGCGCTGGGGCTGAGCAGTGAGGAGTTGCTGCAGCGCAGCGCTGGCTGAGCAGAGCACAGCTGACCCGGAGCCCAGCACGGGCTGTGGGCTGTGCCATGCAGCCCGGGCTGCACAGAAACCAGCAGAACCCATCATCGTGTGGGGAGAAATGGGGATGCTGCCCAATTGATGGCAGCCAGGGCTTCAATAGGACACTGGGGTTGGAAATGACTGGGTGAGCAGCTGACCCCAAATTCTTTTTTTCCCTTCTGAAGTCAAAACAGAGAGCACTGGGAGCTGGGATCCACGCTAATAAACCCTGGTGGCTTCATTCCATGCTCGCTCCGTTCACTGATGCCAGCATCCAACACGAGATGTGACCCTACAGCAGCCAGGAGCCCCGCACCGCCACAAACACGGGGACTGCAGGAGGGGCAAAGGGCCCAGCAGGGCTGCCCACACACAGGGGTGTCCCTGGACAGTGCTCTGGAACCAGGAACGGAGCCGCATCCCGTGCTGCCACGCACCCACTGCAGCTCCCATAGCAGCAGGACTGGGTCAGCGCCTGCTGGAGCCATGCTGGAAGGACGGATGGCCGGCGATAAGTGCTGGGAGGAGCCAGGCCTTGCCACAACCACGTCCTTCAGCTGCAACTCCTATTTTATTCTATGGCATCAGCCATGAGCTCAACACAGAGCCAGAGCCGGGGGGGCACCTCTCACTGCTTCTCATCAGACAAAGACCCTCCTCATCCCACCAGGGATGGGCAGAGCCCCTGGCAGAGCTCTGTGCCACAGCTGCAAACAGAGCATGGGAAGAATAGATGTAGATCCTTGGTTTTCTTATCACAGAATCATAGAACCGTAGAATGATAGAATGGCCTGGGTTGCAAAGGCCCACAGTGCTCATCCAGTTCCAACCCCCTGCTGTGTGCAGGTCGCCAACCAGCAGCCCAGGCTGCCCAGAGCCACATCCAGCCTGGCCTTGAATGCCTGCAGGGATGGGGCATCCACAGCCTCCTTGGGCAACCTGTTCCAGTGCCTCCCCACCCTCTGGCTGAAAAATATCCAATTAAAAGTTCCTCCACATTTATTAAAAAACCAAACAGTAGATTTAAAAAGCAGTTAAGAGTCCTACTCCAGCAAAACACCCTGTACAGGTTTCTCTCCTTTGTTTTTTTTTGTTTTTTTCTAACGGTGAGGATTCTCCCTAAATCAGCTGCTTCTGTTAATTTTATATATATATAATCTTTGAATTCTGCCGCGCGGCGCTTGCTTTAATTCATTAATTTATTTCCCATCAGCCGAGCCGCCTCCAGCAGAGCAGCGGCGCTACCACGAAGCTTCCGAGTGATGTCCATGCCCTGAGCCGGGGGTGGGGGGAGAGGGAGAGACGGCGGAGGAGGGACGGAGGGACGCGGGCTGCCCTCACTCTCCCACGTGCGTCCTCAGGTGGTACTTGAGGGACTGCTTGTAGCGGAAGCACTTGGTGCACTCGGTGCAGGGGTAGGGCCGCTCGCCGGTGTGCGCCCGCTGGTGCTCCAGGAGGTGGTGCTTCTGCGTGAAGTTCTTGCCGCACTCGGTGCAGTGGTAGGGCCGCTCTCCCGTGTGGATGCGCTGGTGCTCCAGGAGGTGGTGTTTGCGGATGAAGCCCTTCCCGCAGACGGCGCAGGCGTGCGGGCGCTCGCGGGTGTGGATGCGGTAGTGGTTGGTGAGCTTGGACTTCTCGCTGAAGGTCTTCTCGCACTGGCTGCACTGGAAGGGCCGCTCGCCGGTGTGAGTCCGCTGGTGCCGCAGCAGGTGGGAGGGCCGCGTGAAGTTCTTCCCGCACTGTGGGCACAGGAAGGCCATCTCGTTCTTGCCGGCGTGGATCCGCTGGTGCATGATGAGGCTGATCTGCAGGCGGAAGCTGCGCCGGCACTCCCCGCAGGTGAAGGGCCGCTCCCCGACGTGGGTGATCTGGTGCTTGCTGAGGCTGGACTTGTGGCTGAAGCTGCTCTCGCACTCCGAGCACTTGTAGGGCTTCCCCGGGGCCGGCGGCCGCGCCGGGGCTTTGAGGCCGTGCTCGGGACGCCGCGGGACCCCGACGCCGCGGCGCGTGTGGCTGCGCTGGTGCAGCAGGAACTGCTGCTTGTTGCGGAAGCTGAGGTCGCACTCGTGGCACTCATAGGGGCCCTCCTTGAGGTGGTTGCGTTGGTGGATCACGAAGTTGATCTTCAGCATGAAGCTCTTCCCGCACTCGGGGCAGATGTAGGGCCGCTCCCTGGTGCGGTTGCGCTGCTGCTGGGCCATGGCCGGCTTCATCTCGCCCGCGTCCCTCTCGCAGGACGGCGTTTTGTGCACGCGGGCGGCCGCCAGGCTGCGGGGAGCCGCTTTGGAGCTGCACTGCGCCTCGCAGCCCAGCCCGGCCTCGTGGCTGGGGAACGCCGGAGGATCGCTGCGGCCCGAGAACATGGAGCACGGCTCGTCCACGTCGTCCTCCTCCTCCTCCTCCGTCTTGATCACGATGCCATCCTCTGTCAGGGGAAAGCGGAACACCGTTACGGCCCTGCAGGTGGGACGCAGGGGGGTTCAGGGCACTGGGAGCTGCCAAAGGGACTCCGCAGCCCCCGTCTGCCCTCCAACGCGAGCAGCTCCTGCTGGCAGCAAGGCGGCAAGCAAGGGGAGAACAGACAAGCTGCCCCTCGGCCTCCGAGCTCTGAGCGCTCGGCCCGGCACCGTCCCCCACTTCAGCTTCCCAGGGCCATCGTCCTTCCCAAAGGATGGGATGTGCAGGATGGCCGTGGGTCCCGATGGCAGCGGGCCCCCACTGGTGTCACTGACACCACTTTTGGTTTTTCCCAAAGCTCGCTTTGTTTGGCGACACACGGTGTGCCCTACAGTGTCACCCTCAGTGGACCCTGAGTTCCAAGAGAGGCTCCATAGGAAGGACAGACAGGTTTCCCAACAGAAGTGGCCAACACCAGGCTGTCTCAGAGGCACAGCACTCCCCTCCAGCACATATTGATGGAGAACAAGCATTCCCAAGGAGCTGCTCCCCCAGCAGCAGCATTTAAGTTAGGTATTAAGAGGAAATTTTTCACCCAGAGGGTGGTGAGGCACTGGAACAGGTTGCCCAAGGAGGCTGTGGATGCCCCATCCCTGCAGGCATTCAAGGCCAGGCTGGATGTGGCTCTGGGCAGCCTGGTCTGCTGGTTGGTGACCTGCACACAGCAGGGGGTTGGAACTGGATGAGCACTGTGCTCCTTTGCAACCCAGGCCATTCTATGGTTCTGTGATCCCCCAGGGCTGCTGATGCTCTCCTCCCTGCTGCCCGCCTGCTGCTGCCCCTGAGCACAGAGCTCGGGGCTGAGATACAGAGCTCAGGAGGGCCTCAGCTCTGCTGCTCTCAACAGATGTTTACCATCTTAACAACACCAAAAGGCAGAGGGTCCACCTGCTGCACACCCCCAATGTCCCCCAACATGGTGTCAGGACGTGGCCAGGAGCTGCCCACTGTGCCCATCCCACACCCAGCTGAACAGGGAAGGACTTTGTCCAGACCTCCACTTCTCTCCAACCCCAACCTCACTGCACCCACCCTCCCCACAGCACACACACTGAAGTCTGAGGCTGCCCTCATTCCTGTCCTCCACACTGCCCACGTGTGCAGGGACACAGACCCACACCGTAAGGTTTGCCCCTCGGTGGGGCTCACAGCCCAGGAGACCCCTGGTGCCTTTCCATCAGGCTCTGGTCCCTTCCCATCCCTCCTCTCCAGAGTTTGCTCACTCCTTGCATGTGGATAAATGACTCTGTTAAACCCCATTCTCACTCCTGCAGCTCAGTGCCTTCCCCTGCCCCAAGCTCCTGGCTTTGCTCCCTTCCCAGCCCCATGAAGTAAAAGCTTTACCCGTGGGTAAAGGCTGCTCACAAACGGAGCCCCAGGGCTGTGCTGGGGACACTGCATCCCCACCGTGGTGCAGCTCAGCAGCCCCCAGAGCACACTCACTTGGTGTATGCCTCCTTCCAGACCCCTCCACCCCTCACCTGTGCAGCTCCCGTGGTGCACGATGACTCTCTGGATCTCGTTGTAGTCCCCGACGTACTCAGAGGGGTCGCCCAGGCTGGTGCCCGGCAGCTCTCGGGGGGGGGACACGGAGCCATAGGGGCTCTCGCAGGCAGCCTCCTCATCTGGGCTCTGGAAGCTGCCCTCCGATTGCCCTGACATGCCGTGCAGCTCTGGGTTCTCAGGGCTGTCCTCTGGAAGCAGCTCCTCTGTTTTGATCACGACTCTGATCCCGGCTGCAGCAAGGAGAGATGCACACCAGCAGTCACCCCCAGGGGTCCCAGCAGCCCCTGGCTGCTTCCCACAGTGCTGTCCCCGCTGCTGTGCCCACTCGGGTTCCTGGTGTGCCCCTGCCCCTCGCTCCGTCCCACTGTGAACACTGCACGCGGTGCTCCTGGCTCTGAGCACTGTTTGCCCACTGCCCAGCACCCTCAGCCAGCACAGACCCCAGGCTGGGGGACTGCAGAGGATTTTCTCATTTAACATGAAGTTTTTCCAGACGAAGAACGCAGGCAGAAGGTGAGAGTGACACAACCCAGGACACCTCCCAGGCCCACCACCTCCCAGACGTCCCCCTCCCTGCAGGTCTGTCCTGCAGTGGGCGCAGGCAGAGCGGGTTGTGGAAGGCTGTGGCTCCCTCAGATGGCTGCACTGGGAGCTGAGCTGCCCATCGTTTCTCCCCACACTGCCCGAGGACGTGCTCTGACTGCAACGCTCCCCACACTGATGGCTCCCCGACTCCGGGCTCTGCTTGTCCTGTTAATGTGCTGAGCCATACCTGGACGTCAAATCACTCAGCAGCCAAACCTTTCCCCTTCGCCTGGAGTGCTCCTCCTGATCATCTCTGCCACAGCTCCCAGCAACAACGCCCTGAGTGCGGCCCCCATGACACCTGCCCACGGTGGGTGGGTGGGCTCCAGCCCCCCTCCACAGCCGCCTCACCTGCGGTGGCATCGCTCATCATCTCGCTCTCCTCCAAGTCCTGCTCATTCCTGACCCGCGGCTCCTCTCCCTGCTCGATCTGGGACAAAACACCCGGTTTGGAAATTGCATAGTCTGTTGAGAGACAGAGGGATGGAGGGGGGGTTACTAGAGAGGGATGCAGAAATTCCCCATTTCCCGGCTCTCCTCAAACCCGAAGTGTTTTACCTCTGGCCCCAGAGCGGGGACTTCTTACAGCTCCAACAGACAAAGCCCCAAAAGATCACAGCTAACACTGCGTTGGGCTATTTGGTTTTCCCCGGGACCAGCACTGGCAGCAGACCCAGAAGATGGGGGGAAGCCCTTGGAACAACTGCAGGGTGGGCAACAGCTCGGGGGAGCCCAGGAGGGCTCTGTGGGACAGTGCCCAGAACAAAGCGGGCATTTCGGGAGGGGTGATCCTACACAGCCCCATGCAGCAACAGAGCAGGGCTGGAAACCTCCTCCTGTGTTTTTAGGACTCCTTTTAAAATGGTCTGGGTCCTTCTGGTCGGAGTGGGAGGATGCCCAGAACCTCCAGCACAGCGCTGGGAAACAGCGCCTGGATTTACCCAACGAGATCAGCGACTCGTAGTTCCCCTTCATCACATTCTTGTACAGCTCCTTCTGCCACTCCTCCAGCTTCTCCCATTCCTTGTCGTTGAAATAGACGGACACGTCGTCGAACGTCACCGGCACCTGCAATCACAAGCACCTGCTCAGACAAACTGGAGATAAAACCAGCACTACAGCCGGACCTCATCCCCGCTGATGAGCTGACGTAAAGCCGGATTCAATTACCCCAAAACTCCGGGGAAAGCTCTCCCCGGGCCCCGAGGTATCATCAGTTATTGTTTGCAAATCATCCAGCAGCAGACGGCAGTTTCTAAGGCTGTTTGCTGAGCTATAATTTCTGCAGATAAATTCAGGATGCAGCCAGAACAGAGCTCTGGGAGAGGAGCACCACGCTGGCTCTGCCTCCTGATCGCCGCGCACTCAGGTCGGGGTGCAAACACTCAATTTTCCAGTCTCAAAGACAAACTTTCCCTTTGGTGGAATGGTCACATCGTGCAAAGAGCAGATGAATGAATATTCATGGCGGGCGCCTTTTGTTGTTTCGGAGCCCAGGCCGTGTGGGCAGGCACTGCCCTCCTGCAGGTCTCCATCGTGTGCTCCTTCCCTGGGTACCAGCATCACCCATCGCTGGGGATCCAGAAGCAAACGGTGCCCAACACAGCTGGAAATCCAGCACCATACAATGCCAAACAGAGCCATGGATCCAGCACCACGCAGTGCCAAACAGAGCTGTGGATCCAGCACCATATGGTGCCAAAAGAGCTGGGATCCAGCACCACATGGTGCCAAACAGAGCTGGGGATCCAGCACCAAACAGTGGCAACGAGAGCGCTGCCAAATCTCCACGGTTCTTGGTTCAGGCTCCAATTGTGCTGAGGAGTGAATGGCTGCAGCACAGCTGCGTGAGCTGGAGATGAAACCTCTTCCCTCAATTCCACCTTAGTTCTAAGGATCTCCCATCAGAGGGTACCAAGAAGTTCAGGCAGTGCCTGAGGCCCCCCCCCGGTCCCAATGGGGAGCAGCTCTGCTCACAGCTGTCCTCCCCATCTCTGCCCCACTGCAAGGAGGACTCGGGGCGCAGCAGCTCCCTGCCCTCACCACAACCCGGGCACCGTTACCTTGGGGACCTCTCCCTTCCTGCCGGGGGGCAGCCGCAGGATCCAGAAGTTCCTGTTCTTCAGCAGGTTCTCCATGTTCTCCAGGCGCCGCTGCAGCAGCCCGTACTCCTGGATGAGGGTGCCCAGGGCCGCGCATTTGCTCTCCAGCTGGTTCCCCAGCTCCGTCGCCGTTTTCTCACAATCCATCAGCTTCTTCTCGGCCACCCCGGTGCGGCCCTCCAGGTCCAGCAGACGGGTGGCATGGGAGTCCACCTTCCTCTCCACCGCCTGCACGGCCGTCACCACGGTGAGGGACAGCTCTGCAGTCTGTGTCTCACGCTCTGAGGTGCGCTCGGGGCCGGCGCGCGGCTGGAAGGGTGAGGGGCAGCGCGGCCGCATCCCCAGCTCCGGAACCTGCAGGGACGGGGTGTGGGTGTCACCAGGATGGCTGCAACCTCGGGGACAGACCCGGCCGTACGCCATGGGTTGGGAACGGCCCAAGAGAGTCTAGGAACCCCTGGGCTGGGGGGCACCCAAAGGTTGGGGACACTCGGGGGGGGGGATCTCAATAGGATGGGGACACCGAGGGTTGGGGAATCCCACGGGGTGAGGACAGCCATCGGCCGGGAACCCCAAAGGCCGGGGACCCCCAGAGGTCGGGGGCGCTCAAAGCATGGAGATGTCGGCGGGCTGGGGACCTCCACGGCCCGGGGCCGACCCACCCTCATTGCGGAAGGGACTCCCTGCCCATCGCTCGCGTCGAGCCGCCTGCAGTCCCGCGGGACGGGCAGGGGGACGGAGGTGACGGTGGGGCAAGGAGGGGCGGAAAGGGACGGCCGAGCCCCGTTGCCATGGGGACAAAGAGGTGACACCCGGGGATGAAGGCCGGGGGGGTCCGCCGCTGTCAGCCGGCCGTGTCGCCATGGGGACGGGGAGGTGACACGGGGGGCAGACGGCCGAGAGACCGCGGGGGGGAGGGGGGGCAGGGCGGGCGGCAACGGGGCGCGGTGACAGCGGGGGGGGCCCCGACGGCCCCACCGCCCCCCCCACCCCCCGAGCGGGGCCCGACCGCCGGTACCGGGGTGCGGGGAAGGGGGGGGGGCGGCCCCGAGGGGGAGCCCGGCTCCGGGAAGGGCGCTCCGACCCCGCCGCGGCCCTCCCGGCGCCGCCCCCGACGGCAGCGCCGACGCCGAGGCCCGGCCCGGCCCGGCCCGGCCGCCTCCCTCCGCCGCGGCCTCGACGGCGCGGCCCGCCCCGACGTGCGGCCCCGGGGCCGCGGGGCCGGCCTCCCCCCCGGGCGGGCCCTTACCTGAGCGGGAGCCCCC